CCAGTTCAGGCACGGGCATCCTCTGCACTGGAGGTCAGGTCAGTGGGGTGGGGTGCGGTGGGGTAGGGAGGACTCTGTTGATGTAGAGTCAGTAGGTTTGCTTTGGCTTATCAGCAGACATAGGCCTCCTACTCAAGCAATGCACGTGGCAAAAGGAAGAAGGAAACCCTAAAGGAGGAAGAAAGACAGATCCTACCATTCTAAAACTAACTGCAGTATTCAAAGGACATTGCACACACCGGAGGGTGCAGAACACTTCTTGAGTGTGTGTGTATGTGAAGCAGCCAGTCAACAAATTCCAGCTCCTTGTCCTTTTTCATCATCTCAGACTACTTCAGAATCTGCCTTACATGGTATTTGAACTTTCTACTTTTCCTTGCTTTTCACTGCATCTTTTAAACTTTGCAATTCATGAGCAAAGCTGTAAATAGAGGGTTTGTAGGCCAGAATGTACAGTACTGGCATTAGGTCCGCATGGCTATCATATGGGAACGGAATATTCATACAATGTATGCTCTTTTTTTCATGGAAGAAGGTCAGGCAAAGGATCCTAGACAGAATCTTCTACTATGTTTATATGACATTCTATTGCCTAGGTACATAAATTGGCATTCTGTTCATGGCAGCCTTGTACTGTAGGAACTGAGTATAGCACTAGTGAGCTGCAGTGTGGTCTGTTTGACTGTAAGGGGAGCCATGAACAAGCGATTCTGTATCCTTCTCCAGTTTTACGTTTTTTTCCTGGTTGTACTTTTTTATTTGTTTTGTACATTTCATTTAAATGTTCTATTGTAGTTTCCTAATATGTATAAAGGATATAACTGGTACCTTACTGAGTCATGTAAGCAGAAAGCAAATTCATGTTAAGCCTTCTTGGTCTAAATCCTATTGATTAGCATAAGCCAAATCATAACTTTCAATCTGTTCCTCCATGGTAAACAAAGTGCTCTTGCCATGATTCTCAGGGATGTGTGTACATGTGCACCAAATCAGAGTGCATATGTACTCTCAAGAATCATGACAAGGATACTTTTTTTTTTTTAACTTAGGAGGAATGGACCAAAAGTTAAGACTTGGATTATGCTAAACATCAGGATTTCAGCCGTTGTCATTGTCCTGAATATCTACAGCCTAAGTTTTTGTCTGGTTAGCTGAAAGTGTTGTTTAGTTTGGCCATTTCCAGAATTGCTTCCTTGACCTAGGGACTCTATGCAGAAGTTATCACCCTGTATCTCAATATTCCTATCTATATCTGTAGGATATAATCAAAGAAGAGCATGCAATAGGGAAAGAAGTGCAAAATAAGAGGAGAAAGAGACCCCCTCCTTGTCCAATCTGGAAGGTTTCAGACTGAGGATGTCTGCTCTAGAACAAGTCACTAACACTATTAATATTCTGAGGGCTACAGTTACAAGCATACACATTATGGAGTAGGTCCTACTGCACTCAGTCTGGATTTACTTCCAGATAAACCTGCATCGCATTGGCTTAAATGCTAACTTTTCATTCACGGATCAACAAGGCCTCCAGCTCCTGCTTTATCTGAGATGTCTGGGGAGAGAAGACAGTGGATCACAGAGGAGAATAGATCCGTTATGTCTTTGAGAGAGGGGAAGGAGAAGGAATGCTGCTACAGAAAGGTTGTCATTGTAAGGAGGACAGCAGGGCTGGCACTACAATTGGGGAAAGTCATGCTGCTGCCTCAGAAGGCCAATTCCTGAAGGCAGCACCATGTGCTCTTCTGACAGCCCTGGAAGGCGTCCTTCTACTCTGACGTCCTGCTCATCACGGTTCTCTGGAGCCAAGATACTCCCAAATGCAAGACTAGGCACTGAGGAACTTCTGGCCCTGTATTACCTTTCTCCCAGCCTCTGGGGAATGGAAGGATGTGACCTCCTGCTGCTTGCCACAATGCTGGGAGAGAACTGCCATTCCTGCTGCTTCTTTTGCACACATGGAATATTCCCTTCCACTCTCTACCTGGAGGGCAGTTACCTGGTGCTGATGCCACAATGGAGATGGGAAGAGTGGCATTCGCCTCCTCCGAAAGCAAGGGTCGTGCGTGAGCAACTGGCACAACTTCCTCCTAGCTTCCAGCAAATGAGGAAAGCCATTGTGATGGTGATGATGGGGAGAAGAGTGGCCACCCCTGCAAGTGCTGCTACTGAAATGGGTGGGTGGGGGCTTGTAAGCCTTAGCAGTGCAGCTTCTTCCTGGGTGGGCTTGTGCCATTAAGCAGAGGGGACCATACAGTTAGAACTAGTGCTGCAATGGGGAGGGGACTGCTGACTCCTCTGGGCCTACAGAGCTGTGTCCTGTGCTCTAGCTTTGGGTGATGGTGTGGTCTCTGCTGCTGCAATGGAAGAGTGAAATTTAGTTGACAGCTTGGGCTACTCATGGAGGGCAGGTACACTTTTGAATTTGGAGAACATTTTTTTTTTGGAAAATGTGAAAAACAGACTGCTTACAGGTTTAGAGGCTCTTAACTCTTACCCCTCCTTTACCCATGGAGGACAAACCAGGAAATGGCCAGATCACTGAGCATAGCTCTGCAGATGCAGGGGCATGATACAGTTCACCCCACTTCTTTGCTGTTGTGATTAAAAGTCATGGACCTCTGCCCTCTTTTTGACCCTGCTGTTTGTTAGAATAAGGCAACTGATCAGGTAGCAGATGCTGGAGAGCTGTTCCTCTTGAGCTCTCAGCTTTAATGCTTTTTAAGAGGACACGCGTGTATACGTCATCACACCTGTTCTGGGCTTCTTAAACTGGTCCACTTCCTCAGGCTTGCTGGAAAACATTTTTCTGACATCTGTACTGTGAAGTGATTCAGCTGCTAGCCAGCGTCTGTAGAGAATAAGGAAGTGATGCAATTACTCTCAGCCATCACAATCTCCTGGGATAACTCTATGGAGAGAGCTAAAAAGCTCTACACCTGAAGGTAATCGATCGATCCCATTCTGCAATAAATGATGTGTTCTCCAAAACCAAGTGTAGGCTGACAAAATGCCACTAGACTTATCCAGCTAGATAGCGAAAGGCCACAATTCCACTCCTACTACTGTACTTACTTTGCCTGGGGAGCAGCGGTGGGCAGTGTGGAGCTTTTTCAGACTTGGCCTGTCAAATCCTTTTGCAAGGCTAAATGCTTCACGGGTACAGTAACGTGTGCAGGCAAACATCAGCAAGGTTGGCCTCTAATTCATTACAGGCAAGCTGTATATTGGTTTTGTTTGAGCAAGTTTTTTTTAAAGACGATGGTTCCCAGAATCTCCTGACCAGATTAGCTGTATTGGCTGGTGGATTCTGATTCTGTGAATGGTTAATAAACAAGTAACTTTTCCAATGTCTGGGAAGGATTCAGATTTAATCACATTAACTTGAAATTCACGACATTTAAGTTAGCTTTGATTAAATAAAAAAAATTAAGTAAAGACAAAGGCACGTTTTTCTAAAAAGCATGCTAATAGTGGATGTTGGCATGCTTTTTAGAAAAGCATGCCTTTGTCTTTACCTATTTTTTTAGTCAGGTAATCTCAAGCCATCTGGCAAAAATAATCATATTCTGAGTTTTAATTATGTACAGCCTTAGGCTTGATGCTAATTGCATTTTGAATGGAAGCGCAATGAAGCAGAGAGGGAGAGATCAAAGATTATGTTGTCACAGAATATTATATTTTACTTAGCACTTGGTGAAGCTTTTCAGCACAGATGTAAGAGCAGCTGTAAAGAACAATTAGCACCATTCCTGAACCTGCAGTAGTATATCTCACAATCATTAAGGATCATTCTTTGTCTTTTCATATCATGCATCCACTCATAATTGCTCATGGGGAAATGTGACTACTCTGTTCCAAGAGCTTTAAATATCTGTTTTGTAGCCACCATGACTTGGGCCAATATCCTGTTCAATATTTATGCACTTGGGGATTGCTTGCTGCAGAAGCTGCAGCAGCAATCTGATGAGGTGCTGGTTGTGTGCCTACCTAATTGTGTCCCACAGCTCATGGGATGACTGCAGTAGCATTCATAGCTTCACCTCTACTTTTACATAAATACTGAACAAGATACCAGCCCTGATGCTTGGGTTTCTTTTAAAAATTTCAGTAAAGAATCCAAATATATATTTATACACAATAGAAATAAAACTCCCAACAGAGATTCATGCAGTCTTCCTTATCTCTCTCTCTCACACACACAGCTATGGGTCCAAATCAACATTTATAATGGAAAGCTTTTGAAGTGGGCAGGAGTAACTTCAAGATGCAAACCCTGTGGAACAGAGAGATGTGTGTGCGTGTGTGTGTGTGCGTGCGCGTGCGTGCAGGGGGTGAGGTGGGTTGTAATTCCTGGACAGAGCCGAGAAAGCACCTCAACCCAGTATGTAAGAATGAGTATCTAGTTTTTTTCTCTCCACCTCTACTGAATGAAGATGAAAACACTAGCCTTTCTTGAATTCATTGCCACTGGCAGCACTAGCATCGCCATATGTTTTTTCTTGCACAAAACCTTGCATTTTGTATAAACACCTTGTATTTTGTATATTTTTTCCTTATAGTTTGTGTAAAAATCCTGGCTTTTGTGCACATACAAAAAAATCACTTCTTTGAAAAAGGCACACAATACTAATTGGTCACAACGACACCTATAGCAAGAGTCTAGCGACTTTGATCGTTTCCAATGATGCAAGCCTGGTGTGGTTTTAAAAAGTGCACACTGGCCCCATTTAAAAACTGTCCAGGCTACCCAGTGCTAGGAGGATTTCCAGCTACTGCTGGTACTTGGGTTGGGTTTTGTCATATGGCAAAGAAACACAGCCTCTAGAGTTGCCACTAAGGCAAGAAGGCCGTTGCTTCCTGGCCAGTGCTGTGGAGGCTTCCTGCCACTTCAGCACTGGCTAGCAGCTCTTTCCTTCCCCCCCACCCTGGTGTGGCAAGCAGGTGAGACTGCTCTGACCCCAGTGATGTCAGTAGGAGGCGAGAAGCCTCCTAGCACTGGTGGTGTTTCTCTCGGCACTGTGCCATACTCTGCTTTAATGCCAGGATTCACATTCAAGAAGGACGTGTGAAAAAGGTGGTTTCACATCCGTTTTTAGATAACCCACAATAAAAAAAAGTTACTGCCGGTTATATGGAACATGCAGTTTTTGCAAAACATGTAGTTACTTGCAAGAACAAAATGAGTGAAGGTTTACATCTTTAGAAGGAAAGAACCAACCAAGTACAGTAGTGGAGATCAAGGCTGCCAGTGGCCCCTAGATAGGGTGGCTACACTACCTTTGGAAGCAGAAGCAGAATGCCTTGGAATGCCATTTGCTGGGGAACACAAGTATGCAGATATTGTTGTGTTGATGTTCTGCTTTAAGGTTTTCAGTAGACAACTGGTTGGCCACTGTGTGGAATAGAATCCTGGATTGCAGAGGCTTTTTGTCTGATCCAGCACCAAGTTTTTGTATACATTTTATGCTTGAGAATCAGGTAGGAAGGGGGAAGTGGCAGGTTGTTACTAACATAGGTGGATGTCTATGTTACAAGTGGCCTAAATACACTGTCTTATGTGCTGCCTTTAAAAAAAAGGAGGGAGAGGGAGGGAAAGAACGAACCTGTGTAATAAAATGTATTTGAAACTCCTGGTGTAGAAACTCATATATTCATGATACAAAGAGGTAGAAAACAGCATGACAGATTTACAGGGTAAAGAGTAATGAAGCTGAAAGACAAGCAAAACAAACCCCTTTTATGGGCCACTCTCAACCTAAAAATAAAAGAACCCGAACAGGCTATTAGGTTCAGTCAGTTATTTCTCATATTTAAGGCCAGTAAGTCACATGGCAACTGGCCAGAATTGTTTTAAGAGTGTTCCCAACACTTTACAAGCTTTTTAAAGGCAAGTTTAAAATCTTCATTAAAACTAGTGTACAACAGAGGATTGATCAGTGAATTCACATAACCGAGCCATGTCAAAAAATGAGCCACTTCTGAAGACACAGTGCTAATCCCAAGGCCCACAATGAGCTCCTTAATAAAAAAGGGCAGCCAAGACAGAATGAACGCACTTAAAATAAGGCCAAGAATGCGTGCTGCCTTGCGTTCACGGACACTGGAAATCTGCTGTCGGTCTCCAACAAAATCCAAGTCGTTGTCAAAGGTAGGGCTTCTCACAGAAGAGTGCATTCTGTCAAATTCTGTGGTTGGGTCAGATGTGGAGAAATCTGACACGCAGAAAGTTTGTGTAAATTTACAACTGGCAAACGAATTTTGACTGTCAGTACTCCGGCTGCTGAGATGTCGGCTCGACCCACGCTTTTGATAAAGACTCTTTGCAGCATGATAAATTCGGTAATAGACAATCAGTATGAGGGTCAGAGGTATATAAAATGCTCCAAATGTGGAGTAAATGGTATAGATCACATGATTATGTTGAATCTGACATTCACTGGTGTTGGTGTTACCGCTGTGGTTTCTCCAAAACAAAGGAGGCATTGAGATGAAGGTGGATATTGTCCACACAGTGCCAATCATAACGCCAGCTCTCTTTGGGGTTCTTTTCCTGGCATACTCAATGGCATTTGTAATCGCCCAGTATCTATCCAGTGCAATGACGCAAAGATGAAGTATTGAGCATGTGCAGCAAGTCATGTCAATGCTCAGCCATACCTCACAGAGAAAGTATCCCAAAGTCCACTTTTCCATCACTATGTATGTAATACTCAGTGGCATGACCAAAACTGCAACAAGTAAGTCTGTAACAGCCAGTGAGCATATTAAGTAGTTTGCTGGCTGACGGAGCTTCTTCGTTGTACAGATGGCAGAAATGACGGAAGAGTTCAGCAGCATCGTTAGGGTTGTAATTACAGATAAAGTCAGGGCAATAAGCATGTTTTCAGTGACTGTCTTTGATCTGACAGCCACACTGTCTTCTGTAGTGAGATTTGTGTGATTCATCTTCTCTGGCTTACACGAACTGCTCACAAGTAAGTAAGGCTAGATATAAAACCACTCCATTCCAGATTATCATGGATTCGTCACACGTGACATCTGAAATCTTTGTATCTCATATTTTTCAAAAGCTTTAGATCTTTTTCATTGGTTTGTTGCTTTTCTAGAAGATAAAAGAGACACAAATTTGTTAATAAAAGACCTGACTTTATTTAAACATTTAATGTTAAAAATAGTTTTTTTTTTTGTAAGAGCACTGTGAAAAGTATAGTGAGGATGAAACTAAGATTTAATACAACTTTAAATAAAAACAATTAAAAGGAAATAAAATAAGTAATTAAGTAAACAAACCAAATTGCCTTGATATGTCTAAATAACAAAAGAGCCAAAGATCATGTCAGTGACTGATTTGTAAGGATTGAGGAATTGGAAGGATTTTTCAAGCATCTATTAGTTAAGTGAAGTAGATATATACACACACATACTTACAGTATATACACACGTACATACATGCATACTCTGGTAAGCATGTATAATACAAATGTTTCACAAGTGGGGCATCACCAAAGTAAAGACTACTATGGCCACAATCCTATTAAGATTTTAGTCTGGAGAAAGTGAAAATTGTTACAATGACAAATTATAACTAACAAGATCCCAATCGTATGCCTGGTTGCACATCTAATTAATTGCATGTCAATTGACTAATTGGCAAAGTGCCACTCATGTGGCCTAGTCGTGTGGCAGGGATGCACCTAAGGAGCTACCATTTGTACCATGTGAGATTTATTTAGCGAGAGTGCTCCTATAAATATAAATATATATGCAGAAGTCATCTTAATGCAATAAAAGGAGTGATATTATGATTGTTTAAGTTAGTCATAATATAATGCAACTATCAATGTACTATTGAGAAGAATTAATTTCAAATACTTATTTGTAATGAGTTAATTCCTATCTCCAATTAAACAGATCTCACTGTTGTTCTAGACTTGCCTTCATACATATATGGTTTCTGCTGTTAAGATGATGACATGAGGCAACGTCTGCATGATTTAATGTCACGTCCCTGATATCCACAGTGCAGGTTACAGTTAATTCTTTTGGTCCTCCAGATGTTGTTGGATTCCAGCTCTCATCAGCTTCAGCCACAATGACCACTAGTTAATGATGATGTGCCTGTAGCGTGAACACCTCTGAGGAGTTATTGGTTTCCCATCTGTACTGAATTTGGTGTCACTACAGACTGGACTGTTATCACATAACAGCTGTGCCAATAAAGAGAGTAGCTTGCCTTTTTTTTTGGCAACTCCTCCCCTGCCCTGAGCCTCACAAATCTCTCACAAATCTTCTGGGGCCTCCTTCTGAAACATCATGAAACCACTAGGGGCTAGAATGGAAAGGGAAAATTGGTGGTAACCTCCTTTTCTTCCATTCCCAATCTGGCTCCAAGCCAGCATCCCCTTTTTCTGTTTCTTTAGATCAGATGTGTCTTTTCCTGCTGTTGATAAAGCTGGATGGAGGTGATGGAAGCACTGAAATGCCCAGCTGGTTAACTGACATTCATATGGCCTTATTTTAATGTGGACTGTACTGGATACAATGGTAATGCATCATGAGCCACCAGTTTTTAAAATGTTCCAACTGCTACTTACAGTTATTGCAGAAACAGCAGTAAGTGGGTTCCGGTATTAGATAATTTGTTCAAAACTTATCCCTCCTAGATGTGCCTCACATTCAGCTCGTAAGAATATCTTTTGAACAAGTTGCTTAAATTCAGATGTAATGTTTTCCCCTCTTTTCATGAGTATGCTAAGGATTGGCCAGACAGACAAAAGACATTTTGTCTCCAATAGTTTCTGATGTAGAAACAATTGCCAAAATCATATTGTCATTTTATCCTAGGATAATACCAATGGAGCAACTTTTGGTGGTGAACTACTACAAGTTATGAAGTTAGCGGACACATTATTTGTTGTACACCAACTCATGTAACTCAAGGCACAACAGATAATGTCCACAGTAACTTTGTAAATTGTGGCAATTTGCCACCAAAAATTATGCCATTTGCATTGTGACCACAGGCATAACTAACTGGTTTTTGGTGACTGTGTTTACTATGTTTGTACTGGGTCCCAACTATACGATATGGTTAAGACACTCTTAGAAGCAGGCCTCCCTTAAGAGGAAAAGATTCTCCTAACATGGACTTTTATCAATCCATATTTGGCAAATCACCCTGCTTTTGTTCTGTGATTGGTCAGTTGAGAGAGAGAGAGGGGCTTCCTTTGTCTGCCTAATGTGCCACACATGTAGCATGGAAAGATTTGCCTGCTTGCAGGGATAACATTATAAGAAGAGGACAATACGCATTCACCTTAAGCTGTGATCTGACCCACAGAGTCAAATCTGAACTCCTTCCTGTAGTAAAATGCAAAATCTAAAGATGTGATGATAAATTTATGCTCAAGAAGTAGCCTGTTTTAGAAAAGAGCATTTAAGTTAATGCATATTGACCGCATGGCATGGTATTCACATTCATGCACCAGTCTTTTTAGCAATTTAAAAACAGTAATTACTTTCTGCAAAAAACTACTCCCAAGCAAAGATCTGAAGTTTTTGCAAAAAAAAATTTATACACACACAATGTATCAATGTCTTTGTAAGCTCAAGTATTTTGCTCTAATTACTGCTGCTATACTGTATATTCAAATGTTTTTTTTTCAAGAGACAGTCATAGGCAGGACACACTCATCCAACTGAAACAAAAGTTCACTAATTAGCACTCAAACATTAAACATGTTTTAGAACTTTTCCCAAACTTTGTCATTTATTGTTTGACTTTGCACATCCCTAGGAATGACCATTTATAGTATCTGGATGTTGAGCTTTGTCTTAGATTGTATTACAACAGGGGTGGGGAGCTGAAGTCTTCCCAATGTGGTGTGACTACAAGTCCTGTCAATCACATTCAGTACAACCAACGATGAGGGAATGGTAGTCCAACGTTGGAGGGGGGGTTGTCACATGCTCCTCACCTCCCTATTAGATTAAAATGTGAGCTTCCAGTTGTAGATCTTTCACAATCAAAATTAAAAAGGGGTTTTCATTATGACTAGGCGTAGAAAGTACGTAGACCTGCTAAGTTCCTTGTTATCAACACTGAGGCCTGTTTCAACCTGACAAAGAAAGTTAATGGAAAGACCCATCGAATTCCCCACCTCTAGCCAAGAACAAGACCCTGGGAGTTCTCTCATCCCAGGTCTGTGTAATTTGCATGGAATGACCCCAGTATCCTTTCCCTTTGGAAAACACAAACCATGTGCACACAGCAAGCAACGAACTAGTTGATCATTAGGGAAAATGGGCCAACAAATCACCTGTTTCAGACTGTTAAAGAAAGCAACAGTCATCATAGTCTGGGGCAAATCATACAAGTGCACATACTGCATGAACTGTACACATTTGTACAAAAATAATCCTTTCCTTTTGTTGTTGTTGCATAAAACCTTGTTCTCACTCTTGTGAGAACTCTTGAAAGCAGCTGAAAATTTCGTGCCTTTACTGCACCACCAAGGAGAAGTAGGTTGCTATTCCTCATCTTTGCTTGCAAGGATGGCATAAAGAGGGATTTATATCGCTGATTAGGAGAGCAAGAAGTAATAGCCTTTCTTGAGCTACTGGAAAATTTCATTTACATTTTTCCTTTGCTTTCCATGGGTTTTTTGCTGGATCTGTTCATTCTGGTGGGGGATAGGGCTATCAATAATGCCATTGGCTATATACTTCCTCCAGAGTCAGAAGCAGAGGTCACTCAATATGAGTTCCTGGGAAACATAAACAGGAACAGGCCACTGCACTCACATTTGGGTTGGCAACTTTCAGTGGCTGCTGTGGAAGAGAATGCTGGAATAGATCTAACAGCATACCGGTATTTCTTATGAGTGTGTTGTGTTCTGTTCTATTAAGCTGGAACCGATTTACAGTGACCCTAACAGGGTTTTCAAGATAAATGAGATATTTATGGGTTGGATTTACCAGTTTCACATCCCTGGTGAGTTTCCATGGCAAAGTGGGGATTCAAACCCTGTTCTCCAGAGTCCTAGTCCGTCACTATGCAGTACACCACACTGGGAATTTGATAATGCTTTGATGAGCAAATGAGTTTGCAGCTTCCATCTGCCATCAGAATTTTACAGAAAGACACCTGTGTTTTATCCCTGCATATTAAAAAAAAACTCACTACAGAACCAGGCTATATGTAGGAAATAACATGTGTCTCACATGTAGAGGGTTGCATTGAGGAAAGTCACTCCCTTAATTGAGTGGAACATGACCATCTTGTTCCCCAGAATAAGCCCTTTCCCCACTTTTTCTAACTCTGTAACTGTAAGAAGAGGGAGCTGTAGCTTCTTTGTCACACAGACAGCTATTTTGATTGGGCATCGTCCTCCTTTGCCCCATGGAGTATCACAAGTAGAACCCTCATAGCTTGGAATAATTATCATTTTTGGAATACAACTTGCAGACTGTTAGCCAGAATAGCCAATGGTCAGGACTGTGTAACTGTTAGCTCCCCCACCCAAAAAAATACTTTTTTCAAGCTCATTTTCCTTGGCATTCACAATCTTTCACAGGGTTCACTTTATCTACTAAAACTATTGCTTCTTATTTTGTTGGGAGCCTCAATGCTGTTGAATAGAGTATATCCTAGTGCCCAAAATAGATTTGATTTTTGAGGCAGCAATTCCAATTTTAGGCTCTCACAGGAGACAGCATTTCAGGGGTCATGTTCCAGCAACCTTCCTAATAGACTGGCTTGCTTGCACTCCACACAATGTCCCTTCCTCTTGCTGAATAACGGCTCTGTAAAAGGTTTTATGCAACAGCTGAGTTAGTTTGAGCTAGTCATGGACCACAAAACAAGCTGAAGCTTGTAAACGTGCATTTCATTTTCACCTTCTGAACAGCTTGAGTTGTGGGAGCCAGCTGGGTCACAAAACTAATGAAGACAAGCTGTGGATACTGTGATTTTTCTCTGACTATAAAGTATACCTTTAGGATACGAAGAAGGAAAGGAAGAAAAAAAGAAGAAGAAATAAAGGCAAAATATTATTTCAAGACTTGTTCAACACAATACAGCAAGAATTTTTCAGCCTCTTT